GCGTCTCCATTTCAGTCCGATGGCTCCGTCGTTCGGCCTCGGTAACGGGATGCCGATGCCGACATCGCTGCACCAGCAGGGTCTGTCTCCGCTGTCACTGGTCACCAGTCGGCCGGCCGCTCCCGGATCCAACGGACCCGCCGGACACCCCATGCCGCCCAGTGAGTATCCGGGATCCAAAGGGCCCGCAGAACACCCCATGCCGCCCCGTTTGGTATTAATGGACCTACCGGATCCATTTCTGGATCCATGTCCGAATCCAACGGACCCGACGGACACCTCATGTCACTGTACGATCAGTCATCAATGGTTCCCACTGCCCAGTAGCCGTGGACGTAATAATACACCCCTGTGTGGCGTTCTAGACCACCCACCCTGCGGGGTCACCCGCCAGGGGCGTCTCTTCCCACAATGTCCGAGCGGTCAATCGTCCGACATCGTTGTGTATGTAAATGCTAACCAAAACGCCTCCGCACACACAAAAATGCCTCTGATCCCGAAACCTGTGGGCGATTTGCGACTATATAACCGCGTTAAATAGCCTACATCCGTGGAGTTGGAGTGCTGGCATGCGCCCGCTTTTTTCGTAATCGATCTGGTTTCCATCAAACGTCTGCGTGTAATTATGGCGTCAATAGTCTGGGTGAGTGAAGGAGACACGGGCCGGCCACCGCTGGCCCCCGGCCACCGAAAAACAAAGGCTGTGGCTTGTTTGCGCCTGGCCTGCGGTCGCCGGGGCAGGCCCGTTTAAAACATCGTTACCACAGTGGTTGACCGGGACGCGGGAGATCCACACAGCCTTGGGGCGATATCGAACGTAAATGGGTCGAAGATGGATTTGGAATTTGGATGGTTATTGGTTATGCTTATTAGGCTACCGTGACATGTTAACGGTTCCGTGACATGTAAACGGTTCTTATAATGTGTTTTGATAGTGAAGCATTTAAGAAAATGGGGTGCTTCATGTTGGTAAAACTTTATTTCGACTTGCTCACTAAAGACGCTCAAATTTATCATGTCATCCGTGGAACTGCTTACGCAGCTTCTGGAGTTTTTTTTTTATAAAAGTCAGAAGCCATCCTTTGAAATTTTAACGCATCAATCTATTGTAATTTTTGCTTCCGATGGGTCGATGATACCTTTCGGCCTTATAAGGCCTTATGAGGCCTTCAAAGTGTGATTACACTTGCGTGAATTGTAATATATTATGTTAAATTACGAGCAAATTGGTTTCCCGGGACTGCATTACCCCGCACCACTGGTATTCCGAGTCCGTCTGCCGCACCTGCGTGAGGGCTCGTCGTTCCGTGACATCGGCTCATATCGGATGACGTCTGGTCGCGCTGGGTGACATCGTTCTCGCCGTGCTGCGCTCTCGTCCGTCTCGCCTGTGCTCCGGGGGTGGTGTCTGCCCTGCGGTCGGCCCGTCGGATTACAGCGAGCTTCCTCCGCCGATTAGCGGATCGTAAACCTCCGATGGATTGTCGCTCTGTGACATTGTGCAACGGCCCGGCGGCGACGAGGCGCTCTCTTTGTCACCGCCTCTATCACCACTGCTGGTGGGCCGCCGCTGCTGAGCTCTTCACGACCAAACCGCACAATTGTGTGCTGATGTGAATTACGGCCGAGTGCAGCGGATGGTGGGGCCTTGTGCAATTGGGGAATCGGTTACGGCCGGCATAGCGGAGCAGTTCGGTGAAGGAACCGCTGCGGCTGCGTAAAATCCCTGCTAGAAAATATATTTGTATTATTTTTATTATTTTAACGTTATTATAATATTATAATATTATATCATTTATATTATTTCCATTATTTTAAAGAGCGGAAGGGACTTGAACTCTGCTCTTCAACGGTTTTTCTGCATTCCTAAGTAATGTACTTTGGAAACTAAGTTAATTTGGTACAGCCGACTTACCGATTCTAGTCTGGAATATCAACATATTTTGAAAGAACGCTCTATCGTTCCCAAAAATATAGCTTGTTTTATGCTATTTCGCGGATAAAAAAAAAACTGTTGACTTCTATGGACGCGTACCCCTCATAGGCGGTGGAACGGGGAGCGCACCGGGGCACCCCTTGATTTTGCCATTTTAACATTAGCCCTATGGGCGTTGCATGGAAAGAATGGGACCAAAAGTCGGCAGTGCCCCCCCCCCCCCTCCTAAAAGGTGTTCCGCCGCTACTGGTCCCCCCTGTATGTATGTACGGCAAAGGCAAGCTCTTTTGCCCACCCGCTGACATTCGCTCCCCGTGTCTGTCGGGCAGGCTCTCCGTTCCTCCCAGGGATGGTGCCGCCCGGTCTGCCGACTCCTAACGACACGCTGATGACTCTCTGGAACCTGTACAACAGCCGACAGGCGGCCGCCGCCGCCTCCCCGCCGCCCGCCCGCCGCCACGAGCCGCCGCCGGCCGCCCCCGCCCCCGCCCCCGCCCCGGCCGTCCAGAGCGAAGCGCTCAACCTGGGCGTGCATAGAGATCTGACCAGGTAAAGAGGGGTTTGTAATTGAGCTTCTTTGCTCGGCTGGGTCTGGACACAGGGCGGAGGCTGGGATGTTTGATTGAGACCGAGAGACTTTTTTAACGTTTATGTCACTGCTTTTGTCCGTTTGTGACACGAACATAGCCGGATCATTGCAAAAATATCGTCATTAGATAAGGAACTTATTGAATTGGCTACGTTTGCCGAGCTTGAATATTTTTCCGCATATATGATGGCGAAGAATCTGAAAGCGTGTGTGTTAGGTGTTCTGTCTTTAATAAACGCGTCTTTTCCTGTGGATTCCATTATTTAGTAAGCACTATTCAGTCCATCATCTGACTTCTCCGCTCCCTCCGATCGTTGCCCCTCAGGTCAGAGAAGGAGCGTGACCAGCGCAGAGGTCACGAGAACGGCGGCGGGCGCGAGCGTAAGAGGCCCACCAAGAGGGAACGTCAGGAACTGGCGGCTGCTCAGAGGCTGAAGAAGGCCCGGGAGGAGTCTGAGGACATCAAGGCCGACTCACTCCCCCACACCAAAACCACCATCACACAGAACGGTCAGTGAGACACGGAAGGAGTTGTGTTGAGGATGGATTCGCCCGCAACTTTTGCTATTATGGTTAGCCGCTCGGCTTGGTCACATATCGATTCGCATTTCGTAGTTGCTGCTGTGAAAATCCCAGGCGTGAGTTACCATGCATTAATATTTTCTTTCTGTTTACAGGTGACAGCAGCATGGTTCTGAGTATGGAGATGAACGGGGTAGTCTACCAAGGTGTCCTGTTCGCGCAGCCAAAGACGGCTCGAGTATAAACGGTGGATAGTGCTGTCACCTTGAGCTTGATAACCAACTACTAGTTGACTGTGTGACCGCGTGCAGCGCTGGCGTCGCAGTGAGGGTTTGGCCGTCGCGACAGGGACGAGACGATAACCCGGATCTCACCGGACAATCTATGGACGGTTTGTGTGTGTGGGTGAGTGTAACCCGGCGAGGAATGTGATGTGTTTGCCGTTGTTATTAACCGGAGACGGGCGGTGCGTCGGAGCACCCGGCCGACAGTCAGTGGTATGTTTGTCTGTTGGGGAGCCGATTGCGCTCCTGTTCCTGTTCGCTGTTATTCGGCGTTTGGGCATCATTCAGTGTGCAATGGACGCTCGAGCGTGGGCGCTCGTACGCTGGCCGTGCTGTTGACGGTCTGTTACTTTCCTAACTATCACAGCTCAGGGAGTGTTACATTACCAGATTCGGGAGCGGCACTAAGGTCGACAAGTGAGCCGAAGTCGCCAAATGTATGTGGGTGTCTTGTTAGGCGGAAAAATCGTGGTGTACACCCACGTACCAGAGCAGCGCACTGGAAACTAGACACTTTGGAGTTAGTTTCTTTGCGAGCTTGTACAAAGTTTTACCTCATGTAGTCCTGAGTCGCTCTCAGTGAGGTTATATTAGCGGGTTTAAGCAGCATTTAAGGCCAAGTTTGAAGTGTGTACCTTTTCTGCGGCTAGGCCTATCCTCCTTCGTTACGATGTATTTCGTTTTTAGACCGTATGTGTCAGAATTTGCACTAGTTAGAACAGATGTTGCTTTGAAAAATTGTCACCCGCGCCCGAAGGAGCGCCGATTCTGTCTAAATAAATGCACGTTGCGACTTTGAATGGTGTTTTATCAAATGTCGGGCACATGAAGATATTCTATCGGGAAATCAGCTCTAATCAAACGAAGCAGCTCGTTTATACGCTGAAGCTGTGAGACGGCGAATGTCCAAAAGCAAGCAAAATGCAGCTCCAAAAGTGTCAGATTAGTCTCCGGACACCGAAATGGTGCCGCCGCGTTGTAAAGCTTTATAAAACCAACTGATACTGATGCAAGGTATGATATTCTACCGCGATGAAATCGTTCAAATTTTGTCTTGCATACCTATTATTTTTCGTAACGACAGAAAGCAGCTGAATGCTGAAACACCGTTTTCTAGCTGGTTTTATTTATGATATATTACTGATACGAATATCTTATGGGAGTTAATAGCGACGCTTTGTTAACGTTCACACAGGTAACGGTACGATACAGTTCGCCGCTCTTCTCCACTATAGGTACTACATCCGCCGACGATCCGTTAAAGACATTCGATTGTAATGAGTCCTAGATCACATAAAACTAAATCATCACGATTATTCAATAACATTGCTAACGTCAACCAGCATTTTTTTATTTTGTTGGGTTAGGCCCTTTCGGTCCATTAAGACCATTTCAGAGCCGGGAGGATGATAGGATATAGGGGGAGACATTGGTCTGGGCAGGCACCCTAGTGAGTCGCCGGGGCTGAGCCCGTCCAGAGGACAGGCCACCCAGCCCCAAGGCACTCACTGCACCCGGCTACGGGGTGCGCTCCCTCGGGAGCAGCGGTGCCGCTCCAAGGGAGCAGCCCGCATGAGATAAAGATGCCTGTCCAGCCCGGAGGGGGTTGCGGCGTGGGGGAGAAGGATTTCAGTTTCCTGAGGATAGAAGCATGGAACGGTCCGTCAACCAGCATTTACCTAGTAATACTTTACACAACAACTTCACAATGTTCACCTTTCCATTTGGTCGAGCGGTCTCCGACCACGTCCAATATTTATCGACCCACCCCTGGCGCGCGACCAAGTAACCACAGGTTCACCGTTCTACCACCAGCTGTCTCTACTCTGCGGCCGGCAGCAGCGGATGCCACTTTGGCGTATCGTCCTTTTTGGGTTTGAGGCTCTCCTCCCAGTGTTGGGCTCCGCTGGGGCTGGTGTCTGGACCCAGCTGGCAGAAGCCCACGCGTCTGTCCTTGCTGTAGATCTTGGAGGCCATAACAATGCACTGAATCCAGTGGAGATCCAGCTGTCGACAAGACGAGGTTATGTCATGAGACGATGCATGCGACGCCATGTCTGGGAAGGGGAACGACCTGGGAATATGATGCGAAGCCTGAGTAGGAAGAACTGATCTGAGATCCTCAAACTCAGCCAGCGGGAGGGGGGGGGCGAAGACCTGCACAAAGGGAGATTTATGAACGTGTGCACAATGCAATGCACATCGTCGCCGCAATTAGAGTTAACGCGAAAAAACTCCCAACTGCTCGAATTACTGATAGGACGTGACTATCGGGATACATTATACACCGTGGTCTCAAGTGGCAAGCACTTAGGTGTGAACTTTCGTCAGAACGCGATATCACAGCAAAAGTGTAAACAGAAAACGGCTCACTAGTGCACCCAATATCGCGTGAAATATAAGCTCGCTAGAAGTATGTGGAGTTAGAAGCTAGTAGGTACCCCTCCCGGCTCCTCTATACACGCACTCATATCCCCCCAATCTAATCGCCTGACCCCTCACCTCAGCCTCGGGAATGTCAAAGTGGAACGACTGGTTCCAGACGGGCGCCCTGCCTGACACTCTGCGGGACTGTTGCAGGCCGACCTCGTCTCCGGCCTTCAGCAACATGACGGCCACTGAGAACTCGGGGCTCACCTGGTGAAGAAAACGACAACAACGTCACTAACGGCATCTATGGCATCTATGTACTCTACAGAATCACTGCCAAAGAGAACTCCGAGCTCACATGGCGAACAGAATGACAACAACTTCATCAGCGGTATCTGCGTCATCTACGTGATCTACAGTTTCACTGCCAAAGAGAATTCGGGGCTCACCTGGCGAACAGAATGACAACAATGTTACCCACAGCATCAACGGCATCAATGGCATTAACGGCATCAAGGTGTTTTGTGTCATCAGCCTCATAAATGTCCCCAAAGTCATATACGTCATCACCGTCATAAGCGTCACCAAAGTTATTTACACCATCAGTGTAATAAACGTCAACAACTCATCTACGTAATCAATGACCCCGTTTCCATAGGCATCACTGATCCGGATCAGCAAATGTAAATCGTATTATATTTCTCGAACTCTCCCAGAGCGAGGGAGCGAGGGAAAGGATGCGATCCCCTAGCCGTTTCGCCCCTCATCGAGATTCGTGAAAAAGCAGGTGGGCTGTTACGAAACACAGTGACTGGTAGCCCGATTTTAAAGTCTTAGCTCAAAAGGGGACCTCTAATATCGGGTTAAATTATCCGATTGACATCTACTCGACTCGAGCCCACGTGACCAGCTGACCTGTCACGCTGCCGGGGCCGGGTCAGCAGCAGGGTCGGCCGGCGGAGGTCAAGAACTATCGGCTGGATCACTGCGTAGGGTGGGTGTCGCTGCCTTGCGTTAGGGTGCTTTGGAAGGTGGTCCATGGCCGTGAATTCCTCAATTCGTGATGAGCTTTGGAAATGATGACGTCTCCTTTGAACGGCCACCTCACTGGACTTTGGAGCGCCGTAAGGTGCAGCACTTAGGTGAGTCTTTACCTTATAATTTATTAATTCATGCTTCGCAAGATAATCGGGATGATAGCTTATACTTTTGAAAAACCTTCAAGTAACAGGGAATTTTAACCCTCGTCCATGTAGGGGGGGGGGGTTGGTGCACCCCCCCCCCCCCCCTGAGGTTTTTCTTAGCTACACGCCGAACCGTTTCAGATAGCCTGCTCAAATTTTCAGGATCCTTTGGGGCATCCTTTGCGCAACTTTTGTTTTTTTTGTCAAGGTCATGTCAGGTCACGGAGTTATGACGTCATAAAGGGAACAACCTCCGGCCAGATTTACGCTAAATTGGAGATTGCTGCACATTGGTATGAATGTTGACTGACCTGACACACTGATGGATTGTTTTAGAATCACAACTGGCGATTTGACATTGGCACAATGTCCGTTGACATTTTGAAGGTTACTAAAGGTCAAGGTAAGGTCAGTGACCTCGGTTGACCTGTAATGACTTCTTGCACTTTTATGCCTTTTCGGGGTATTTTGATGCCCTGAATTCGAATTTGCTATCCATTTCAGGCATCGTCGGTTGTTTCTTGTAGTTCATTTTGGGTCTGGGTCAGGTCAGTGACGTCACACGCCTGACGTGACCCAATGCACAAATGACCTTGCAAACTTCCGATGCTCCCAACGCATCATTTTTAGAGTTATGACATCGAAATACACACCAAACGATAGAGAATTGATCAAGGATCACGATAGCGAGGGTTTCAAGTCGATATCTCTTACCGTTTTGTCGCAATCGGCGCGGAAATCTAAAAAAGTTAGATTTTTCCGAAAATTTGACCTTTGACCGGTCATAAGTAGGCCAAATGTTGACCTAGGACCAAAAATATACCACCACTCACGAGATCTCGTTGAGAACAATCCGTTGATCTTTTCCGCTAAGCTCTACGACGCTCCGTTTTCAAACGCCAGGGGGGGTCGCACCACCCCCCCCCCCCCCTGCGTGGGCGAAGGTGGAAAACATCGTTTACGGGCGAGGGTTAAAGCAGAGAAGCTCGAAAATTCCTGCTTGAACTGGGTTTTGTTGTTCGCATGCTTTAAAACTTGATTGTGTTTTTTGTTGACTTTTTTTGCTCTTGCTCGAATATAGACCATTTAATTTGCTATTTTGTCATCGTGTGTGGCGCACAATAACAGAAAAATTCATTGCGTGTCTTCCGTTTGGAGTCCGACGCAATAATAACGGCACAAAGGGGCACAGTGTGCTAATATGCCGTGCGTAAAATCATGAGCCAAATGCTGGCCGTTGGTGAATTATTGCTTTCCGTGTTTTGCTGTTTCGCATTTTTTTTTTTGCATAAGTCTGTTCATATACTTACAGTACAGCTCTGCTCCGCCCTCTATGGCAGCACACATCTCTAACAGCAATCCATTTTTTTTAACAATAATGATATTGGCTAACTCCTTAGTGCCACCCAGATTGCTCGCCAGAGGCAGTGACCATAATAGCTCGGACCTACCAAACATATTCAACCCTACATATAGGGTATAGCACACATAGCACATGTGCTATAGCACACAAAAATAGCCATCGCCGTGTGGGAATATCGGCTCGACGAGCGAGCGGCGGGTGTTATTTCTGGCGCCATGCGTGGCACCATGCACGCATTTCCAGCCCCACCGTGCACGACATCGCCTCGTTGATCGTTCTCGTAAAGGTATTGGTAAGGTAACTAGCTGAACTGGGCTTTTTGAGAAAAGCGGGATTTGTTAGTTTTCTATCCGATCAACATGCTTAATTATCTTTACCTGTAGAATCATTAACACGTAAAAGTACACTGCTAACATACCTATGCTGAATTTAATGTCAGAGGCAGATCCGTTTTCCATAGGCATTTATTTTGCTGAGGTACCTACAGACATTTGTTTTTTCCTTACATTGAAATGTTAAGATACCTACGAGTCACTCCCACAATCACTAAAGTAAATGACAGGGGCATAGCCAAGGGGGGGGGGGCATAGGGGCCATGGCCCCCCTGGAGCCCAAAAGGGCCCCCATCGCGGTGTCATAAGTACGGTAAGGGAAGGGCCCCTCGGGGCACTCCACTGGGTTCGCGGGGGCCTTTCGGGCCTGAGACCTTGCCGCTAGGGCCCTCTGGGCTCTCTTCATTGGTTATAAAAGGGCCCTTCGGGCCTGAGGCTTTGCCACTGGGCCCCTCGGGGCCCTCTCCATTGGGTTCGCAGGGGCGCTTCGTAATTTTAAGGTAGTTAAGCAAATAACTACGTCATGAAATTAAGAAAATGTTGGGCCCCTTCGCTCACATGGGCCCCTTTCGGTCTGATTGGCCCCCTCCCCCTAAAGAAAATCCTGGCTACGCCCCTGCCCTTAGACGGCTTACATGACCCTCAGACGGCTTACGAGGCTCTCATGGGCTGTAGGGGCCTTTGGCGGTCTGAAGGACCCTCATCTGACCCTCATCCTACCCTCAAGACCGTCTTCAGAACCGGCTGAGCGACTCTATGAAGCTATTCGTGGGCCTATCTAGCAGGGACCCATGGACTGCTTGCCCCTCAGTTCCAACATGTTTTTTTCATTTTTTAAATATTTTTTTAATTTATTTGGGCCCCCTAAAAAAATAGTGGATGAAATCCGATGACTTTTTGGATTTTGAGGGGGTTTACCTTGGGCCCCTGTAAGTTTGGCCCCCTCCTGGAGGAAATCCTGGCTACGCCCCTGGAAGAAAATGAGCGAGGCTTAGAACAGAAGTGTTTTCAGTACTTGGATTGAGCTTGAGTTTATAAACGAAGTAAAGCTCATTATCTTCTCAATAATTTCCATCTAACATTTATGCGTCGCAATTGTTTCCAGGCCATAAAACGTCACGATTGACGATTCTCTACAGTATCCGCCACGTTATCACCATAATAATCACGATCGCTGACGCCAATATCAGAACGTGACGTCGCGATGCTCGGATCACAAACCATAGGTCACCCACACGACCATAAAATGGGGCAACTCCGCTCTCCGATAGCACTCCGAGAACTAATCACAAAACTCCGCGAGAGGTGCCTACACTCAAAACTCAAATGATTCCTTTTTTGGTGTAAATGGGGTGTGGTCTAAAACGATACCCACTTTACGCCCTACTTAGACCAGAAGAACACCATCTTAACCCTCTCGAAACCCAAACATACACCCTGTACACCTGTCGAACACCATTCATACACCCCTCTTGCACCCTTTTAACACCACCAGTAAACCTATATGACACCCGTATCATACCCACTTGCACCGGGTTTACACCCCCTGAACCAGCTTTATGCCACCTTTGCACCTTATGTGCACTCTTTTTACTCTTGTGCTACACCACCTTGCACCCAAATTACTCCTGTTCTACACTCCCTTTGCACCCATTTTACTCCTGTTGTACACCCCCTTTGCACCCATTTTACTCCTGTTTTACACCCCTTTGCATCCATTTTACTCCTGTCCTACACCTTCTTTGCACCCATTCTACTCCTGTTCTACACCCTCTTTGCACCCATTTTACTCCTGTTCTACACTCCCCTAGCACCCACGGTACACCCGGCTAGCACCATCCATGCACCGCTCCCCAACACCACCGCTCCCCACCTTTTTCATTCGCAGACCCGTCACCAAAGTCAGCCAGCTGGTGCAACATTTATTACAACGAAACTTAAAACGAAACGCATAACTAAACTTAGCGCATACTAAACTTAGCGCGGCCGCCCAGCCGCGGTGGCCGACTATGACGAACAGTTTCAGTCTATCTTGAAGGAACTGCTGGTCTTGGATGTCGGCCGGGGGCCGCTCAGTGGCTAGGAGTAGCACTCTGATTTCTTGGCGGTCCCTTGTTTGATAGTTCTCGTTGATAAGCCTCTGTTGAGAGAGGTAGTTCCGCCACTGTGGTATCGCGAATTGTCCCCCTCCGCCCGGGAGCTGGCGACGCCACTGGCGGCGCGGCACGCAGACGCGGCGGCTCGAGAGAGTCGGTCTGGCGCGCGTGTCGGGTGCGGTCGTGCGCCGTGTGCGCCGTGTGCGGTGGTCGTCGCGTCGCGGTCAGCACAGACTAGTGTTCGTGTATGAGCCCAGATTGCCTCAGCAATAAACTTGTCTCCACGAGCCAG